GACAATGGTATTTAAAATACTTTAATTTTTTTACGCCCCCTGTCCGTCCGCCCGTCCACATAGAGGCTGTAGCTTTTATCTGATCTTGATGAAACTTGTGATGCATGTATGTATTGATGAGATCTCGGTCAAGTTCGAAATTGGTAATAATCGGATGAACGGTTTCGCAGTTATTGCCCTTGACTTTGCAAGAAACGCGTCACATGTAGCTTGTATTGATCTCAGTAAAGCTTGAAATTAGTAACAATCGGATGAACGGTTTCGCAGTTATTGCCCTTGACAAGCGCGTCAAATGTGGCTTGTAGGTACAATAGAGACAACAGTTTTTATCCGATATTGATGAAACTTTGTATGTATGTTGATACTGATGGGATCTCAGTCAAGTTCGAAATTGGTAATAAGCGCATGAACGGCATGAATAGTTATTGCTGTTGTGATGAGACCTTGTTCATGTTTTAATTGGATTTGAAAAGTTAGTGAACTGTTTTTGAGGGATTGCCTCGACTTATGAATATTTTTTAGATTATTTGAAAATTCATTATTAAGCCACTAAAGACTTTGTTATCATTTCTGATAGCTGGTAGTGGGCGTATGTTACCTTGCCTGGCAAGCTGTTTTCAATGATTTTGTGAGTCATTGAGTGCACATCTTCCAAATGCATATTTTGAAAATTAATTACTTATTGGCCTAATTAGCTTGCTTAACCCTTGTGCTAGAATTTGGGGTATTTCGGGACCTTAGCACCGATTTTTTTCGAATTTCCAAAATGCCATCGAAGATAGCAATTTGGTTATTTCAAACATCGTAGCTGAATGAATTTTTAACCTGTTCATGATCAGTCTACTGTGCAACACTCACAATTAGCGGATATGTTACCCCTTTAAATTGAAACACACCATGCTAGTATGTTGGGGTACATTACGATAAATGCAGTGCTAAAACTGGATTTCAGTGAATAAAATTAAATTGTAATCTTTAATCTGTAATAGTTATCTTAGGTTAAAGTCAATTTGTCACTAAACCGAAATGTCCCCATGTCAAAATGGCATCAAAAGTCACAATTAGTCGAAATGACCCAAAATACAATAGTCAAAATGGCCCCTAAATTTAATCTTTGATTTCGACCAAAATCATTGGTCGAAATGATCCCCCCACCCCCAAAAATAAAAATGTCCCTAGTTTAAAAATATTCTAACTTTGATAATTAATTATAATTAGTAGCTTATCTGAGTGATTATCAAAGACTAATAATAATAATAGTTTGTAACTTATGTGATGATTAATGAAAGAAAAAAGACAGTAGTTTATAGCTTATTGAAGTGATGATGTGTATATTTGTTTTGAAATAAATACTGTTTAAACCAAGTCAAATTTTTCCATGACAGCCAAGTAATATATAGAATTGGTTGAAAGTGAGGCCGAGTTTCAATACACCTGTAAGAATTGTATTGTACCATACGGAAACTATTAAAAAATCTTAACCACATTTGATCGATAATAAACCTTGACACAGTACATCATTTCAAAGATTAAGGTTAATCTGTTATACACACAAATTAATTCAAATTATTAAATAAATTTATGGATATATTCAATATGAAGAGTACGTAATATTTTACCAAGATGAGACCTGTTCAATATAAATACAGGTCAGTTGAGACTGGTGAAATTACCTTGCTGCACTAATAATATGCCAACAACTCTTGATATTTTTTCCCGACAGGATATGCCGTGATACGACCAAAACACCTCTATCTTATTGGTCCCTGATCCAATCCCTCTACACCTATTTCGGCACCGAAATACAAACAACATACTGTCAAAACATTCATATATTATTTATTGTTAAAGTTGTTCAATGAAATAAAAAATTATTTGGTACCATTTTGACCACTTTGTAAGGGATATTTCAACTAATTTTGGGGCCATTTTGATTAAAAATTGACTATAACACCTATTGAATCTCGGGGGTCCTGTAGGTAGGTGAAATTTGAGTTTTTTTGTACATAATTTTCAAATTATCAATAAATGTTATAACCATATCAAGTTAAGCTAACTACTTTTGAAATCTTGACCAATTGGTCAATAATTGAATCAAAACAGATGCACTCTGCTCATCCCTAGATCACAACCCGACCCTTATGTAATATTCTAGATTATAGGTTTGGCTTGAAGACAGGATGACTTTCGCATATCGATATAACTATCATCTTGAATAATTGATTTGGTCAACAAGGAGTCTTTATAAAGTATTATTTGCCACACTTGGGAATATATTTCATGTTCTTTTGTTCAAAATTTCCATTATATAATAGGGGTTCCCAAATACCCCAGGTTCTATCCAATGTTATTCAAACGACGTGCTAGCACAAGGGTTAAGATTTATCGCAAAATAGTTTGAGGTCGTTTCTTGCTAGTTTTTTGTGCCCGGTTCCTGATCGTTTCTCGTTTTCTTTAGTCGTTTCCCGGTTCATGAGGTTGCCTACGTATGTAAATATTCTTCAGAAGTACTGTAAATGAATGAAAAATACCTCTAACTAGAAATTTCACTTTTTATTTCTATCACACATTTCTGGACACACATGGATTTGAAGGCTCAATCTTTGACATGAGCTGAGAACTATTATATTAGCTTAAAAATTCCCGTTTCTGAGACGCTTGGTCAGACGAATGGCGAACCTAGATACCTTTGATGATTCTGATTCTTTTTTTTACTTTTGGATCGACCATGGCTTTTTAAATGTTTTATTTGATATGTTACTGTGTTAATCATTTGTATTCTCGTTTCAGTGATAGTTTGTGTATGGTATGAAGAAGGACGATGTCGTCATTTGCTCAAGAACTTAATCTGCTGTATCAAAATCTTATTAATGCGGCGGACGGGAGGGTCAATGCTACTGCGTAAGGATGCATTATATAATTAACCAATATACAAGTTATAATATCAGTATTATCATACATAATAAGCTATCTATATATATATATAAGCAATAATATGGGCATTATGCTTATTTAACTTAAACTGATGAAAAGTGGCATAAAAAAAAAACTAAACACGATTTGAACGCGTAGTGGCGGAGGGTCATCCGCCCACACCACTCGTAGTCCCGAAGACATGTTTTTCGGGCAAAAATCTCATAACCAGGTTAGAAATTCGGACAACCGCTATTTTAAATTTGCTGCTATGTAGACATGGCGTTTCTGACAATCACTGACTTTATTTAACTGGCTTTGTTCGTGGGTTAGTATAAACTTCTCTCATTTTGATTTGATGGTTTTAACTGAATCTATGTCTAACTTTCAGGTCGCGATGTGAAGAAACGATAGACCATTATTCGTTTTATCAAGGCTTTTTAATACCAGCGGTAAGTGTCGTACGCACGAACTACACATTACTTGCTGCGAGAGATGACATAATATAATATTCTAATTGTATAAGATAACTTCCTTAAGTGGCATTTAGTAATTGAGGTATGAATATATGAACACAATTTTATGGATAACAATTATTTTAATAAATAACTTGCGACGTTTCGACGATGATACTTTCGTCTTTAGATAGTTTGCATATTAAGGACACTGAGATTCAAGCCTTATACTAGTTTAAACAAAGTGCAAAAATTCTAGTAGTGCATGTGTGTCCTCATTGGCCAACAACTCTCCAACTATAAAGACATATTTCGTTTTGCATGATGATACCCAAAACTTATAAGTAATTATATAAAATATGTGCCAAGGTTTAGGTGATTGGTATCATCAATATCTAATAATTAGATTTTACCTTAATATATAGTTTGATTGATCTGGACCATTCATTACAGGTTTTAATAACTCTGTCATTCGGCTTTACTAAACAGAGAAGGCAGCTATTTCAAGATATTCTTAATGGACGACCTGGAATGGTATTGTAAGTATTCAGTCTACAGATCTCAGACAATATACTTGGGATTAATCTGGAAGTTGTTTTCAGAATGAAATTCTGATAATCGCAGATGCGAAGTAGCTTCCGAGTTGTGGCTGGCGATACACTCGACAATAATCATCTTTTGAATCAAGGGATTCTAATGTTGTCATAGTAATGATAGATAATGATACTGACAAAAAGATGTACAACTCATAATCTCAGAGAATGCACATGACTTTCGTAACCTTTTATGTTGGTACTCCTGTCGACATTAACCAATCAAACTCCAACCACTTATTAATGCTGATAAGGAACACGCCATTTATGGACAGTGGGTTAGTTCAGACGGTAGATGATTCCAATGTAAGCACAATCGTTGATGGCACGGTCGGTGTATTCTCTCGGTGGGGATAAGGGGGTTTCCCCCTGCATGAGATGCAGGATTTCAGCTAACATTGGCGGTGGTGCCCTCCAATCGAAAGTTCTGAAGCCGCCACTGTTCGGAGTGGTATGTAATTCCAACCTTAATATCGTCCAGAACACAAGTTCACAATTGCACGGAGATACATGCGAGTTACATCCCCATCCACATTAGGGAATTATTCTGATGATCTATTTCTGTCATTTTTCAGCCCCATGGATATTATGACAAGAAACGCCAGTATGTCGTATGCTGCTGCATTTGGAGCAACTCTCCATCTTGTCGCATTGATCATTTTTCAACAGAAAATAGCATTTGAATTCCACGGTCCATCTGAACTAAACAGTAAGCACTTTGATGCAATTTCATATTTCTCCTTGTTTGGTGTATTCCTAATGTGTGTAGTTTTTGATAATAAACATTTTACAAAAAGATTGACCAAAAGGGGTTGTCAAATCCAGCACGACAGGTGTTCCGAAGAGTGAGTGAGGCCTGAGTATTAAACTTACTTATTATTATAGGTTTGACAGTTATAACTTAGTTATTATTATAGGTTTGACAGTTATAACTTAGTTATTATGATAGGTAGTAATTTATTATCATTATTATTAAAAACATTTTTATTATAGAACTGTTAATAATACCTTCAATGATAGTCTATGGACTGGTGTATTTTCCTGTATTCGCCTGTTTAGCTATTAAATCAACCTATGGTTATATCATGGGATCTTTGTATGTCTGGTCATTTACAGCTCTGTCATTTTACAAAGAGTTTCAGTGCGCTTATGCATATGTGAGTATTATATTTCGAAAATGTGTTCTTCAAGACTGTCATTATAAAACATAATTAGTTTTAAACCGTATGTCAAAACCTTCCTATTAGTTGTGAATATAATGTGAGATGTTTTACTGCACCAAGAGATCTAATAATTGTCTGGACACTTTGAGTGCAAAATTTAGGACATGTCCGACCTCTATAATAAACCCACGTATTTGCTCATCTGTGACGTCTTGTTGTGTGGCGTTTACGTATATTCCGGTTTTTCTTTTAAAATATGGATGGAAAATGGATTTAAGATCAAATGTATCATAATGTTTGTAACAAAAATTTATTTAAGTGTAAACATCACACAATCCACAACGTCACAAAGGAACAGCCAAAATAAAAGAAAAATTAAGAAAGCTTAGTAGATAGCTAATACAATTTATATATATATATATATATTATTTTATTATTATTATCATTATTATTAATACCAGACTATCAAGTGATTAGTTAGTGCCCATTTATTTGGCAGCAGTCGCTAAACCACCTTTCAATGCTGTGTCGTTATGTTTTCAGGAAGTAGAAACCGTAGTACCTCTATTGTTTCGAAGTATACCACAGTTTGTCTGTCTTCTATATCTATGTATCGGTATATCACGACGATGTTACGAGGCTTTTAAAACCAAGAAAAATGTATTTGAAACTATATCTGAAGACTACATTTCTGAAACACTGGGCGATATCAAGGATTCTTACGTCGGAAGACATGTGCGTAAACTGTTAATCAAACAACTACCAAAACCAAAACCTGAGTAAGATAACTTACTCTTTGTTAAAAAATTGCGCGCAGTCCGTCCGTCCTTCCCACCACAATTTGCTTGTGATTTAACGATTGAGGCCAGATTTGTTCTAGAATTTCATAAGATTTCGTGGGTAAGTTTATATCCGCAAGATCTAGGATAATTTGGAATTTGGGATAGGTTCAACAATATGGAATTGATGTACATAAATTACGTTAAAGGTTTCTTACGCCTTTTACAGGTTACCTGACGATTTTAAAGGGAAACTGATCATGAAGCTGAAGTTGTTTTGGAATCGATGGGTTTACAAGAGAGACGAAAGTAATTATACCGTTACTATCTTTCTGATTCTGATTCTGATTCTGATTGTGGCCGTTGATAACTTATGAGATATCAATTGAAATTTGTTTTATTAAATTTTCACCTTCTGTGTAAATCGAAACAGTTGGTTTTAGTTTTTCTTGATGATGTTCCAAATGTTTTTGGTCGAACACATCAGTTGCATTTTCTGGAATCTTTGGGAATGGGTTATGTTAACGTGAAAGTTGGTTTACCAAGCGTCCAAACCGGAAGTCAACTATTGCCCCAAATGAAAGCAAGGCATTGCTAATATAATCAATAATAATTATTAATATTTAGTTTGTCATCTCGGAATTCCTGCCACACAGTCCGCGAAGCTGCCGTACATTATTATATATATATACAACCATGTTTTATTTTTAAGGCTTTAAATATTCGTCCAGATTCAAATCTGTAGTATTTGTTGGTATGTTGCTTGTGTACATTGTAAGTTCTTTTGTTTCTAGAATAACCACGATAATTAGTGAGAGAGAGGAAGTATGAGTTGGCTACAAAAAAATAATGATTTATAATGATAATCCCATTGGTTCACCGATACATCTTTCTTGCTAACCTTGTAAAATCTCGTCAGTAATTCGAATTCCTTGTTTCATTAACTTCATTCGCTTATAATTGAGGCAAAAAAATAGCTTTTCAACTAACATAACATTAAATTTTATTACATAAGAAGTTTAAATTAACTGAGTTAAAAGGCACATATCTTCATGTTAGTTAGATCATATTTCAGCTCACCGTAGAGTTTCTGGCAGATGTATTATTCATCACCAAGTGGATATCGTTAAGAGACAAAGCCATACAGCATGCAAAGAATCAAGGTTCCCCACTGAATCCACTTGCAGAAAAAATCTTTTACTTTGTAAAAGGCATTCGAGGCGAGTTTTTATCCTTCTAGACAGATATCGATAAAGTCGATACCCACGTGTTCTAACCTATTTGTATAAAACTTGTATTAAAATGAAGATAAGGTTAGAATAATAATATGAATGTCCTGATGTTCAAAATAAGAATTATAACCCGTGGCTTCAAATACAGACACTGCCAAAACTTCCACATCGACATACTCCAAAATCAACTGTCATATCGAAACAAATATTATAAAAACATTCAACCGTTTTTATACGCCCACGTGAAATGAAGAGCATATAGTGGTGTCACCCATGTCCGTCCGTCCGTCCATAAATTCTCTAGAAGGCACAATTCTTTACGGAATTTGACCCAAGGATAAACCCAATTGAAAATCCTAAAAAAAAATGAGTTACTGCCCTTGTTCTTAAAAAAGTTTTCAATTTTTAGCCTGCAAACAATCTTGAAAGCGCAATTCTTGACACAACTTCGTGAAATTGTTCATTATCACCCAAAAAAGTTCAACAGACGAGGTTCGGTGGCTGAGCTGTGATCAATTCCCTCAAAAATATGTTTATTTTCAGTTTGTTATATTCTGGCTATAGTTTTTGCCATTTTTGTAAATTTAATATCAATACTACATACCATGACTTCTTACAGGTAAGTATTCAGTTTAGTTAACATTTTAATAAGACCAGTAAGATGTTAAACAGTATGGCGTTAGCATAAGATTTTTCATAAGACCTATAAGGTGGAACGCCAGTCCTAAGATATTTTCATTAGCCCCATTAGGTGTTGAACAGAAGCACGCGAGCCTACAGTTCAATATTTTTGATTTCACTCTTGTATACTATTTCGTTTCAGAAAGAATTTAAGGAATTTACACAACGGGATCCATACTCATATACCAGCAACAAATAAACGTTCTAACACTAAACTCTTGGTAAGTTTAGTGCTTGGACTGCAAAATGAAATGGGAGATATTATGGTCTAAATGTATGAACAGCCCTATATTATCTTTTTCATGAACTTTAAAGGAATACTTCTTCTTAAACTTATCCAATTACAGTACATATTCGCCAGTGTCATATTTATACCACAATATCCTGCTTTAATCTGATAAATCTAAGTAATAATCCATAAGTCATAACTTTATTGTAGGATGGGTTTCATACGGCCTGGGAACTGTTATATTAAATCATAATTACGGTGCTGTTTGTTTTAGGTTGGAAGTATGAGGTATGCTGGGTATCAAGTAGGATATATAGCATGGGGTACGTGTACAATTACATAATTCAGATTATCTGCAAGGTAACTGGGGTCAGTGTCTCTCATATTTGTTTAATGATAAAGCTGAAGTTCAGATCAGAATAAAAATCATGTTCTACTGCAGTTTAGTCAAAACGTACAATATCGTTAGACTAGTCTTACTAGTAGGTATTAAAATGTGCACCTGATTAGCGATATAAAGCAAAATGTCGATTTCAGCGCTAATATATAAAAATATACAATATGAGAATGCTGTGATATATTGTAGGATTTGTATTCCGGTGTATTATAATGTAGGATTTGTATTCCGGTGTATTATATTGTAGGATTTGTATTCCGGTGTATTATATTGTAGGATTTGTAATCCAGTGTTTTATATCGTAGGATTTGTAATCCAGTGTTTTATATCGTAGGATTTGTAATCCTGTGTTTTATATCGTAGGATTTGGAATCCAGGCCTGGTATTCTCGAAACGATCTTAGAGCTAGGATGTCCTAGAATCAATGTAAAAAGATAAGAACCTAGGACATTCTAGCACTAGGATCGTTTCGAGAATTGGTGGCCAGTGTTTTATATTGTAGGATTTGTAATCCAGTGTTTTATATCGTAGGTTTTGTAATCCAGTATTTTATATTGTAGGTTTTGTAATCCAGTGTATTTTATTTTTCCTGCTGTTTATGATAATATGGGCTCTGGTTGATTTAAAGGGGATGTTTATTCGTTTATTAAGGTGGTTATGGTAAGAAAACTTTAAACTTTAGTCTTAAAGCTTACACTTATTTGAGCGAATTGTGCGTACTATAAAGTCCCTCAATGACAAATACTTGTATCATGTTTTATTCCCCAGACTCTATTTGTTCGATGATTTGCAAGAATCTTTAGCAGGTGAAATAATATTCTACTCATTCATATCAAGAAACTGATAATCCATGTTAGCTTAAAGTTAAAAACTACTTGAAGGGTTGTTTCTATTAGCTCCATAATAAAGTTAATGGATTTCGCTAGTATAGACAGTGGCACAACTAGATGAGTGGGAACCCGTGAACTTACATGGGTTGGGGCCCCTTTCCAGGGATTTTTTTTAAACATATGCTCTCTTACATTCTGAAACCCCTCTGAAAGTCAATTTTATGCCTGTAATTGGAAGGTTTTCAGTCTGTAGTTAATGCTATTTCACTCATTTATGTATATTTCTGGCTGCTTAGTTTGATTATACATGTATTGTATCTTTTTTGTACGACCACATATAAATGTGGACGTAAATTGTCGTCGCCCAGTCCGTCGGTCCGTGAACATTTCTTGTGAACAGAATAGAGACTACAGTTTTCATCTGATTTTATTGTAACTTGGTGTGATCATTTATATTGAATAGATATTGGTCAAGTTCCAATAAGACGATTTTTCGATAAACAGTTTTTGATTTATTGCCCTTGACTTAGGAAAAACGCGTCGAAATTTATATGTGAACACAATAGAGACTAAAACTTCAATTGATTAAATGAAACTTGTTGTGATCATTTATATTGATGAGATCTTGGTAAAGATCGAATTGAAGATTTTTCGATGAGTGTAATTGTCCTTGACTTCGGAAAAACACGTCGAAATGTGTGTGTGAACACTATAGAAACTACAGTTTTCATCTGATTTTAATGAAACTTGCTGTGATAATTTATATTGATGAGATCTTGTTCGAAGTTCGAATTTGACGATTTTTCGCTGATCGATTTTTGAGTTATTGCCCCTGCCCTCGTCAAAATTTGTTCATGGGCACAATAGAGACTACAGTTTTCATCTGATATTTTTATGAAATTTGTTGTGATGATTAATGTTGATAAATGAAATAAATGAATGGAGTTTTACTTCCTATATATTTATATTGTTGATTTGTTGGTCAAGTTTGAATTTTTGACAATTTCTCATTTTTTAAGTTATTGTCTTTGACGTTAGAGCTATGCGATACAATATTTTGATGTATTTGTATTATTGATATTGACATGGGTATTAATAACTGGCAGTAAATATATATAAATATCAATAAATTCAAACTAAAAATGCAGAAGATCTTTAAAATGATAAAATTCTTGCCAAGCTATCTTTGTATTGTTTTACATCACGATTTCATTCCAGGCCATTCATCCTACAAGTTGTATTTATCAATGTTTTACAAATTGTATTAGCCAAGTTTTTGTTCTTACAAGAAAAGGGAGCTCATCTCGCCCTAGAAAATAGGTAAGTCCATAGTAGAAACCAGACTTGGTTCAGCAAACCAGACACTACGTAGTTGAAGAAGGCTATACGTGTGTTTTAATACGTGAGGTATAAATGTAGGCCCGCGTGGATTATGGTGGTAATAATGGTAAGTAAATGAAAGTGACAAACCTTTTAGACTATTTTAACGTAAAAAATAAATGTTACGTCTAAATGTCATTTAAAGATTATATTATGATGTAAACGTTGGCTGTTACACGACAGTAATTCTGTCCCGCATTAAGCAATAGTCATCGACAGGTTTGATGAAGATTCTTTTCTACGACAAAATTATATGCTGAATCTTATGTTCACTCTTTCGATGTGGTACTATATCTTGTAATTTAAAATGATGATCATCAATAGGGTGAAGATGAATACCCATTGCATTAGATTTCGGGAAGGGCCCGGAAGTGAAACAAATACTTCATTAAGAAAATGGAATTAACGGTCAGGAACTGCTATTTTCTTCTGTTCTGATCTTAAATAAGATAAAATATTATAACTCGCCTTATAATATGCGAGAGATTAGATTGTCTATGAACAAGGTTGTCATTTAAGCTTTGGTTTTGTGAATATGTTTTGTTTTTAGATATGGGGGAAATTCTCTTGCAGACTCTCATAATGGGCATGGACTATCTTTCTCGATTGCCGGTGGTATTGAACAGCGATGTTTCAAGATATAACGTCTAACATACATGGTTAATAAACTGATAGTGTCCGGTGTTTATATTTTGCAGGCGCATGCTGTTCACCTTCACCTACTTTATGTTTTTCTACAATATATTCGTGGGTTTAGTATCCTGTTTTTTAAGAATATTTAAAACTATTGTGATGGGAGCTGTATTGCTACCTAGACTAGACCACAGTACATTACCACAGAAATTCCAGTTTTTTGATCCAGGTGAGAAATCAGATTATTATCTTGATCACTGTTCTTTCATGTCATTCCACAGGCCTATACCTAGTAAAATGGCCCATTTGAGAAATAAAAATGCGGACAAGCAGAACAATTTTGTTGACCACAACTCACGTATAAAAGAACAGGAGGAATAAGTAGTCACATTATTGATGTGCTGTTACCTCCGATGAGTGTGCTGTCACAACAGTAAAAGTTTGAATGATTATTTACACAGCACTGCACTGTGTTGGCAACATGATTTTGACTTTTAAACAATGACCATAGTGTACCAGATTGACCACGATCACATGAGTAACATCAGCAATTGCCTTCAAATATAATTCATATTGGTTTTATACTTTGTGTTGGATTTTATTCAAAAAACATATTTTTGTTCTTCAAAAATAAAAAATGACTTTTCTAGGTTTCGCAGCTTATGTTGGTTTTATGCATATAGAAAACTCTCATAATCACCCGGTAGTGTTGGTGTTAGTAAGAATACTTCTGGCCAGTCGCAGAAGCAAACTGAAGTCGGCTCAAGGTAGTCTAGATCGTGATGTCTCGTTTAGTAATATTGAGACAGGTACTGGATCTATAGGTAGGTATCTTGACGATTCACTACACTCAAAGCTACTTAAACACTTCATTAGCTATATGGACTCCAGCTCCCTTAATCTAATCTATATTTATTTGTTGAGAAGTGCCTTCGGGCGTATTCCGGAAGGATGATCATGCCATATTGCCGTTATTCATGTAATTTTGCTGTTAATCACATTTAATAAATAATAAATAACCACTTCTATTTTTACAAATGGTTTTGTTCTATGAAAATCCTTTGTACTTCAGGTCAATCGGGGCAATCAGGAGATGGAACACGAAGGCAAAAAGCTGCGAGGTTTAATTGGCATGTAGCTTATACGCTAATCAACAATCTCGAATTGAGACTGTATAGAAAAGGATATCTGGAAGCCTTAAAGACAGCTAAAGAAGGTGGCATTATTAACCAAGTAACTGACAACGTCTATACTGATTTATCCATCCCTAAACAGCCACAGAAACCCAAAATTAACAATTCTAATTTTCTGAAGAACCAGCAACAAGACGGATATAATATTCTGGAAGAAGATGTGCGACGTGACAGGATAACAAGATCTATACCACGACAACCGAAAGAATGAGAGACAAATGTTTATACTAATCTTGTTCGTTCGTTTAACAATAGAATTATCGTAAATGCAAATAAGAATGGCAAACGTGTCACAATTACGATAAAGGTCGACCGTAATATTTTGTAAATCTCCAGAAAGGTCACGAGGCTTCTCGAAAAAACACCACGATAATGAAGTGGAAAATTGTTAAACGGAAAACCCTAAACGTATATTCCGTCTCTTAGACCACTATCATAGATAAGCAACTAGGTTTTATAGAATAGTCATCTATCTCTTCTAAATTCTGATGGGTCATCTGGAGTGTGTATCATTTTTAACAGACCAAATCCATATAAAGAATGTTAATTAAATGGTCATCGCACCCTCCTCCTTCAATTTGTTGCTTGAAGGGGGGTTTCCTTTTTTATAGTCAAATTAAGTAAACTACTGCTGGTAGTTATTTTTATGTTAATGCTTGTTTATTAATGCTAGAAGTTTATTGTTATGTTTATCTAATATAGATCTAGATGTTTCTTCAACTTTTTGTTACTAGTGGTTAATGCTTGTGCCAATGTTTTGTATTGCAGGCGTTGAATTTTGACTCCATAACGTTTTAACGAATAAACCAATCACAAAAATACAAAGCCGATTGGCATCACAGCATGGGATGGACATGGCTGTTATTGAATAGATCATTTGAGTGGTTGGATATTTTATTGACCTTAATGTGGTATATATCAATTTTTTTTAAATCGTTTTTGTATTTTGTTGATTTGTCTTATCCTAAACTTATCCTCGAGAAGAAATTGTATTTGTTGATTTGTCTTATCTTAAAGAAGAAATTGTATTTGTTGATTTGTTTTATCTTAAAGAAGAAATTGTATTTGTTGGTTTGGTCTTATCTTAAAGAAGAAATTGTATTTGTTGATTTGTTTTATCTTAAAGAAGAAATTGTATTTGTTGATTTGTTTTATCTTAAAGAAGGAATTGTATTTTGTTGATTTGTCTTATCTTAAAGAAGAAATAGTATTTTGTTGATTTTTCTTATCCTTAAGAAGGAATTGTATTTTGTTGATTTGTCTTATCTTAAAGAAGAAATTGTATTTTGTTGATTTGTCTTATCCTTAAGAAGGAATTGTATTTTGTTGATTTGTCTTATCTTAAAGAAGCATTCAGAATGTATAGTGCTTAACAAAAGGGTAGAGAACTACTCAGTATTTCATTGTATTATTGCTAGTTGTTTTCATATTACAGTTTAGAGTTTTCAATGTTCTAATATAAACCAGGATATATCATTCAATGATTATTTGAATCAGCACAATCAACTTTTTCTAATCCACTTGTTCGCTGAATAATACTTCTTCCATTGTCATAGAGAATGGGATTCGACACCCAGGCTCCTATTTGGATTTTAGCGCTTATTAATCGATCGCATTGGGGACAAGGATGGGGGGATGTAGCTCCCCCTGGAAAGTGGTCTAATCTAGGAAGGTGGAGACACTGATCGTGAGGCTAATTATTTTCTTGGGATTAAGAAGCTCGTACGCACCGTGACCTTGATCACAAAATCCACATTCTGCATTGTGGTAGCATCGTGTGGTGCACAGAGACATTGTAGAATATCCGGTAATGTCTTTATGAAAGCATTACTGATTCAGATTTGTAACCATAATGTGGTTTTGCTTGGGGTCAGTTTTGATAATTAAACTTTCGAAATAAAATCCTGTAATAATTCTTTTACGAATGTGTATTTTTCTCGATTTTAGATTAGCCCATATCTCCTACAACTATTATTATTCAGATATTTCAGTTCATAAAGCATAACTATATGCAGAACCATCTAAGTATATAATTTATAAAATAACTAAATGTAACAAATTCACAAAAAAAATCATAACATGCAAATACCAGTTGTCGACTGAAAGGCTATACGAATGCATAATAGAAAATTTTATGTCATGTTATATACTTTCAAAAAGTATCTCTAATCCATTTAAACCATTAACGTCTGTGTAAGTGTTACATATTTTGGCTTAGTAAAGGACAATGAGACAAAAACAAATTCATCGTGATTTTATCCCTATACATAAGCAAACCAATTGTGTTATAATCCGAACGAAACAGCAATAGTGGAAGGACAAGTGGACAGGTGTGACGCCAATATTCTTCCAAATTATAATGTGGGCAAATAACAATATATCTTGTTTGTCGAAGCAATGAAGCGAATAGGCTCATTAAATTAAAGACCTTATTTATTTTGATTGTGATATAAAAAATGATATAACCAAATAAAATTGCGATTAAATCTGAAAGAAAATCAGATTAAAATAGCTGAAGGGTTTGTATTTAATCAACCCTGATTTAATCTGGTGAAAAGCGTCACGGAAGGTTCAAGGAAACCTTCTTCAAAAGCTGGACATCTACCAGTAAGTAGCTCAGTATTGGACGACCACAATCAAGGTAACATCTATTACTGATGTCTATTAAGTTAATAGAAAATAGAAAAAATTCAATTGATTTGTTTGGCTTAAAATGTATTTTCACCTTTGAAATATTACTGCCTTTTTCAAACATTTGGCTTTACTTGTGAACTACGTTCGTATTTGTTATTGCCATGTACGTAGTTGGTTTGATGCATATTGATTTGATTACTAGCGTATTACAGACAGACGAGATCGCTGATAAAGGGTAGTATTTCGTGTTTGTTTTATTTTATATGCTTGTTTATTGCTTATTCGTAATAGATGATGAAAACTGTAGTCATCTTGTTGTTGATTGGATGTATTCCACTTATTTCTACTCAACTCTTCTCTGGTTCTGAAGATTTTGAAAGTTTAACTGAAAATGGTTGGTTGAAAAGAGGATCGACAGTAGAGCTGAGCCCTGATAGCTATAATGGAGATTACAGTATTAAAGTATCTAATAGGTGAGTGGATGACCAAAGTTCGATCTTCATTCAATTTTCGGCAGTTTCGGTAAAACTGAATCTGTTGCAGAGCGCCTCTCTACCTTTATTATCTGATTCCACCCTTGGGAAATAATTTCTCTACCACACATCAAATAACTAAAAAAATACTAAAAACTGAAACATGCTAGCAAGGTATTGTTACAAACTTATATCTAAAGATATTTACGTTTTTACACAAAGTGCAATGGGAATGTAAAGGCCCAATGTCAGTTAGAATTTTGTGCTTGGTCTTAACATCTGGAACTAGCTTTGTTGATTACATACGTAGTTCGCCACGTCCACACTGCGTCTCTTTCTATGTCAATATACCTGCTACGGTGCTAAATTCCCTCTCATTCCGAATTTCATTCACGAGAATTTCGAATTCACTCTAGCGGATTTATATGGACTCCGATTGAGAAGCACTGATCTAAACTAACCTGTCCTATTAGCTGGCAGATTAAGAAATGATTGCAGTTAACACCATTGATCTGAACTGTGTGTCCAACTAGTTAGCAAATTGTGACACGAAAGCAATGAGCAACCATTGATCTAAACTGTAGATTTTCTTTTCGTTTCCTTCAATGTACCATGAGACCAAATAACAGAAACCTTTTTACCCTCTGACCACATTTCTGTGACCAAGTTTCGTTTGACCACATGACTGTGACACAATTTCCGACAACCAATTTACTGACATTGTAAAAGAATTGTAGCACCAATTTTGACAGGGACGCATGCTTAAGACTTATATTAGATTTGGTCAATGGGCAACTTGGCTAATTGAAAGGACTAATTGGTCCAGTGTAAATTAACCCTTTTAAAACATTTTAGAAATATTTTAAAGTATAATTAACGACGTTTTTGATGATAAAAATGTTGCATACTTTAAGTTTTATATTATTTAATAGACCTACATGTTAAACGAGCAAAGATCAAATCATATTTGTTATATTAACTGATAGATTGATGTCCTGATATCTCTCATTATTTCTATCTACTAACTGTAAATATTATACTGGTCTGGTAAACAATACTGGCGAAACCAAAATAATTAAATCGTTAGCCACATAATTTAGCTATTATTTTTTTCAGGATTAATGCAATTTAACATTCAAAATAGAAATTATTAAGTTGTTATTAATGTTTTCTAAGTATTGAACAAATCTTTTGATTTTAGGGAAAAAGAGTATGATTATTATAAGATGTACAGGCCAAGGGCAACACTATTTATGAAGCTTTTTAATTTTGAATTAACCTTTTGACCTAACCTGATATACACCGCGTCACAAAATACCAGCGCTGGATAGTGCAGAAATTTATTTGGTTTAAGCAGACGTTATCGAGTAAGGTCAAAAGGTTAATTTGACGAAGGTTAAAGAAGGCTGTCGTTAGACCCTAACTGAAGTGGCTATATTAGAAATAAAAAACGGAACGAAAGTTTGCCCTAATTTTAGACTGTGGTAATATACACTGCTTTGTCATGAAATAAGCCATACGTCTTGTCACATGAAAAAAGTGTTTATTTCACAATAACCATAAGATTCATTCCTAAACTAAAGATCATAAGATATACACATTCTGCTTTTATTGTACTTTTTGTATTGTCAAATTTTATAGCCGTCCTTTGCCAAACAGTATGCCAATTTAGAAAGCTCCAAACATACTGAAATACCAATTTGGAGTATGTTCTATTTCACGACCGTCAGAATAAGTATTTATCTGTGCGACAGAATACGAAAATTGAACATCTTCTATTCTAGGGTTGCTAAATGGGCAGGAATAAATTTCAATATGAATGTAGCGCCCTCAACATCTTACCATTTTAAAGCTTATATCAAACTACTAAATACACCGACTGGTCTGACCAATTCATTATCCACAGTGGCTAAAGTTACCTCTACTGCCAATGGTAATATACAGCCTTTGCTTTGTTTTATATATCAACGATGATCAATGATTACAATTTGCTATGTGTTATGCCCGATTGGTGAGATTTTAGTTTTGGGCGTTCAAAGTGGCACACTATTACAAAAATGTACGGAAGTAAATAAGCCAATCTCTACTCCAGACCTTGATTGAAATAACCCTGACTATTATGCTGCAGCTAATTCTTTTTGAGAAACTTTCTATCTTGTTTCAAGGGATTGTAAAGAAGAATTGAACTTCAAGAGAGCATATATCGTGTTATTGTTTTTATAATTTTCAGTGACCAAGTACAATGTAATAGGAAGTGACAAGTTTATGCAGGAGAATATGTGGCAGGAAGTAGGTGGCGATATTACAACTGACGCAGGTTCGTTTTATCAAGAATAGTTATTACTCGTTACAATGAGTGAACTTTGAGAAGACATATACAAGAAAGAAATATTAATGTTTTACCAACATTACCAATCCAAACCTCGTTTCCATATTATCTTTTTAAATGGCTAGTTTTTTTTTCTTAGTCCGTAATTATAGCTTTTTGTCCACTCACAGTGCTCTGATATTTTCAAAGACTCAAATCAACCAAGAAGAGATTGTAATGTTGACTCTCTGTCCAACGTGAATTCTCTGATTAATGCTGACAACACACTTACTAATGACCAATGTACCCAACGTTGGACACGGTAGATTCATTAAATACACCCAGTCGCAGAGTGTTAGGGGCCTTGTTTCTTTAAAAATCTAACAAACTATCGTAGGTGCGGATTTTATCGATAACGATAATCTTTGAGAAACGCACGTAATTGTACACTTAAGACCTTCGCAAGCTTAGTTTTAAGTTGAAGGTGATAAGATTGTTTGAAAAGAGGCAATGATGTTTTAATATTTTGTTTTATTTGTATCTAGATGTAAGTTCGATGAGTATTTATATACAAGTTACAGAACCTGGTGTGGAATATTTACTAGATACAGTCACCTTTTATAAACTCTATATAGTTCCTGATACTTGGAGACAAAACACAGATTACGCCATTAATAAATACAGGAAGGCCAAATTCATAATCACGTAAGTAGATCTGGTGTAAATTTCAAAAACTTGATTATCCAAATATTTATTATGTTATTTATTACAATTATCTGTACATTAATCAACATTTACCCGTATCGAAAAAGGACATTGCCTAACATGGAGTTGGAGATGAACGGAAAGAAAGGGACTAGATGCTATTTGAATGGCAGACTATCTGATCTGGTTTAATATAAACACAAGTTACCAAGCCGCTTATCACACCACATTAAGATTATATTTTAATTGCTGCTTTCTACCAATTCTGCTTAACTTCTATACAACCATATGCAGTCGTTTAAACATCAAAAGTATCAGAACAGCACCGAACTCTCAAAGCAACTTGGCAACTTGAACTGAAAAATAATAATTAGAAGATATCCTGGTCTATTGATAGCAAAGCCTACACAAATAAATTAAACGATGTAACCTGTGTGTTTTCTACACCTTCCATCATTGTTGACCCTAAGCACACTTCTTTAAACAAACGTACCGAAATTCTTTCGAAATGTAGACACAATAGGTTGCATAGCTTGAAACCCTAAGTAACAATATGATTCAAGTTCTGTTTTAATATTTCTAAATCGCTCTACAATTGGTGTATTGAGCACCATTTTAACAGTGAAAATATATTATTATTGCTTCTACAATCATACAGTTTATGGTTTGACTTTAAATGTTTGTTTGTTTGTTTGTTTCAGTGCCCAGGGACGTGATGATTTGTCTAACATCAGAATCAGGGTAAGATTATTGTGACCATCAGATACAAGTCTTAATTGACTCTATTGATGTATTGTCTTTGGTCGTGTGATTTTATATCAGTCAATAGATGATTTGGTGGTGCTACAGATCTTCCTTGTGCTATGTGTCTGATCTCAATGTAAAGATGCGACAGTTTCGCAGACACCGATATCATGTTTATATTTTAAAGTTTCTATTAAATAACGGAACACAATTTGTTGAATTACTTTTCCTTAGTTTTTATAGATGACAATGTAAATTGTTGAAACGTAGTGTGTAATAAAAGTAAGGAGTAGTATTCCATAAAATTGTGTTCCGTTATTTAATGTGATCTCTACCCCTAAATGTCGCTAAAGGATTACTTAAAGTTTCTGTTTTATTGATTTGGAATTTCTTTTTTTGACAAATTTATCACGAGATATTTGCCCCAATTCCCTATGTGTTTTTGGGAATTTTTGAAAAAGGTGTCGATCGGTACAAATAGTGCATATCGAAGTTAAAGGTGCCCATGAAATATTCTAAAACCATAAACTTAACGAATTGAATTGCAGTTGACACAGGATAAAAGTGAGTTTGCCTGGGGCTCGGTGGTCAATGCCGAGATGATAGTAGACCCGGACTACCAGATGTACCAAGATTTGTTCTACGATACGTTTGAATGGGGAGTTATTGGTAATAAATTTAAATGGAGACATATGGAATGGAAAAGAGTAAGTGATATACTACCCTTGTAAGACATTTGAATTTGGAATAATGTTAGCTACGACAAAAAGTGATGGATTAAAACCTAGCAAGTGAAATGTAACGCGTATTTAATTCGACAGTGTTTGTAGCAGATTGTTCCAAAAGAGAGCCTCCTACATTTTGTTTTTGAAAAGATTCGATATTAAAAGTTTAAGCTCACAAAATACCCACAGAAGACTATATTTGCTGTATTTAAAATATTCTTTTTGGATTATACAGGGTACAATTGATCATGAAACAGCTTTAACTGCAACTAACGCTATGCTTCAGAAAGGGTAAGTGAAGATTCTTATCAAAACCAGTCACAGAGATTGAAAGATGTAACAGCAGGTTAACAACAGTTTTCTTTAGTCAAGGACGAGAACTCGGGCTCTAGACACCTGATAAAATATCCAAATTGGGATTATGGCGTCCAGGCCCGTAGTTAGAAGGAGGCCAAAGGGGGGATGGGGGAATGGGGGGCAACCCCACACTCCCTTAAGAAAATTGCGCTCCTCTCCCCCTGAAAAATTTAGATGATTTAAATGACTTGTTGGGTCGCTATTGTTGAGCCCCCCTGAGACACTGTACTAACTCCGGGCCTGAATTGGCGTCTTCAAAGAATCAAACATCTAAGAGTTATCTTATCTGCGTCTCTGTTTTTGTCGTAACGTTCTGAATCCAAAACGACACCTCAATAAAAAAAAAACTAAGGTCAATAACAATATTATCAATTTCATTTATTTTTTCTTCTAAAGAATAAAAGTGCGAGGTCACTGTGTATTTTGGGGAATAGAAAAGAATGTACCAATATGGCAGACTGATTTACCTGATAGTGAGATTAAGGGTACCCTTGAAGACAGAATAAACGATGTTATACCCATCACTAAAGGCTTGTAAGTTTACTTTAGTTTTCATGGGTTGCATTGGTCTAAAACATCTGAGAAAACCCAAATTAATATCAAACGAAAAATGATGGGATTTCGTCTGTGGCAAAAGAAAATGTTTTTTTTTCATAATCTACAAAGCTATAGTCAATGGTTATTTAATTTTTGCTTACATATTACATATTAGAACTCTGGGATATTATATGATATCATGTTATATATCTTGTTATATAGTGTAATATATTTATAAGAACATTGATTTGTTATATTACGTTATTTATTATCTTTATCATATTTATTATGTTGTATATTATATTCATTATTATTATATTATAATAATTATGTAATTTATTGTTAGATTTATATAGGATTAGAACAAAGGGTGTTTTATAATATCATGTCATATCATTACTTTATATTTATTGATTAGAACACTAGTATACTATATTACTAGTATACTTTATTTGTTATGTTATATATTATGTTATTTATTACAGATTAGAACATTGGTACGTTATAATATGTTATTTACATGTATTATGTTATTTATTATCTTATTTATTACAGATTAGAACATTGGTACGTTATAATATGTTATTTACATGTATTATGTTATTTATTATCTTTTTTATTACAGATTAGAACATTAGTACGTTATAATATGTTATTTACATGTATTATATTATTTATTATCTTATTTATTACAGATTAGAACATTGGTACGTTATAATATGTTATTTACATGTATTATATTATTTATTATCTTATTTATTACAGATTAGAACATTGGTACGTTATAATATGTTATTTACATGTATTATCTTATTTATTATCTTATTTATTACAGATTAGAACATTGGTACGTTATAATATGTTATTTACATGTATTATCTTATTTATTATCTTATTTATTACAGAGTAGAACATTGGTACGTTATAATATGTTATTTACATGTATTATCTTATTTATTATCTTATTTATTACAGATTAGAACATTGGTACGTTATAATATGTTATTTACATGTATTATCTTATTTATTATCTTATTTATTACAGATTAGAACATTGGTACGTTATAATATGTTATTTATATTATATAATATTTGTTTATCATGTTATCGATTGTTATATTGGTTTTAGATTAGAACATTGGCACGTTATAGTATTATTTACATGTATTATTTTATTTATTATCTTATTTATTACTGATTAGAACATTGGTACGTTATAATATGTTATTTACATGTATTATCTTATTTATTATCTTATTTATTACAGATTAGAACATTGGTACGTTATAATATGTTATTTACATGTATTATGTTATTTATTATCTTATTTATTACAGATTACAACATTGGTACGTTATATTATATAATATTTGTTTATCATGTTATCGATTGTTATATTGGTTTTAGATTAGAACTTTGGCACGTTATAATGTTATTTACATGTATTATGATATTTATTACAGATTAGAACATTGGGATGTAAATAATGAGAATGTTCATGGTAATTATTATGAAGAAAGAACTGGAGATGTTAATATTACTCAGTGGATGTTTAGAGAAATCCATAAACGTGATCCTGATGTCAAACTCTTTCTCAATGATTTCAGTGTTGTCAGCTCATCAAATGGCGGAGTGGTAGGTATATTCTGGCCTATTAGAGATTAAGACGTGAAAGCTGACAATATACCGACTCGGTTTCGGATGTGGACTACTTGAATGGGAAACCTCCAAGGCTGGAAATGACCCTTACACTTGTTATTTAGATATAACCTTTAAGTGTAATTCATATAACCTATTCAATATTGACGTTCAACATTTCAATTTACAAGATATTTTCCAATGTTCAATTTCGTTTCATTTTTACACATACATGAATATAACCCTCAAAGGGTGGAATTTATTAGCAACTGGCATCGGCTGAGAGGATCTCAGTGCACCATCAATCAGACTTGCCAGCTGCTCGTGTTGCTCGTGTTGTACTTTCTTTATAAGAATCTTATACTACAAATATCGATCGGAAGCTGTACAATGCCAGTTGATCCCCTGAAAATTGTCAGCTACGTTCGCCTCTCACCCTTGTAAACATAGTGCAATTTGAATTTTTATCATTCTTTTTATACATTTCAGTCTTATTATAACCAAGGTAAACTGTTTAAAGAGGCTGGAGATGTGCCTATATATGGTATTGGGATTCAGAGTCATCTTAACCAACATGTGGATATTTCAGTACTGAGGGTTAGTCACTTTATATCACCCGGAGAAGACTTGTGTACGAATATCCGTAATTCTATTGGTCATGGCGCATAGGGCTGTCGTGGACCATCTCATTCTCACACTTAATGACTTTTTAATCGATTGAAATTATTCGCTACATAACGACGTATAACATATTTCCTTTTTTATAGTTTCGGTTGAATAGAATTGCTAGACTAGGGTTACCAATTTGGATTACAGAATTAGATATCAGTGACTGGAATGTCACGTCTAAAGCTGAATACCTAGAGGATGTCTTACGACTGTATTTCAGTCACCCTAGTGTTGAAGGTGTGCTATTGTGGGGCTACTGGAGCGGACGGATTTGGAAACCAGCAGCTGCTCTTGCTACTGGACCTAAAGACAATATTCAGGTGATAACCGCTGTAATGGTGTTATATGGTTGGTTGTCAACATTTTTAAGGGGGGGGGCGACCCATTTTTTCCAGGCACTTAAAAGAATGCAGTACAGCAAAAATGTGCCTCACATGTAGTTGAGCCTCCCTATAGAAAATTGACAAGGAGAATCTGACTTCATGTCTACTCTTCGAGAGAAGTCTTAAACTGAAAGCTTCACTGACATCTAGTATGCTTTGAACAACCATAATACCTCTAGTGATGACATTTTTGCCAATCATTGTGGGAATTGTTCATGTCAAGTGTTATTATTAATTGCAGTGGAATGCAGCTGGAGAAAGGTTAAGACAGCTGATCAAATCTGATTGGAGGACAACAGCTAGACGATCTATGGCTAATGGTCGAGTGCATGTCAAAGCTTTCAGAGGAGATTATACGTTGGAAGTTTTAGAGAATGGACAACCAATACATACAGAGAAAGTTACTCTTCCGAAAGAAGGGAGAAAACTACAGATTAACTTATCGAATGACGGTAATCAGATGCTGATATGAGATACATTTAGGGGCCAGATTCGCCAGGTGTCTAGAATATGTAAATAGTCTTAGAAGTACTAAAAATGTACAAAATCCAACAAGTCCTTCAAAAATACCCCAAACTTTGGATTTGCACTTTCTGTTTATGTATATTTTATATACAGAGCAGAGTCTCCAGATGATGACGAGTCGCTATTTTAATTTTCAAACGTGGATAACTCACACACATATATTTGTTCAAACAGATGTCGAATCTGTCCCTTTAATTGGAGAGCTTTGAGATTAGTATACTAGTACCAACTGGCGTTGCTATGAAGGGAGGTTGAGGTTGAGGGATGTAAACATATCGCCAGATAGTTCCCGTTTAAATTGGCAAAGGAGAACAGATGTTAGAATCTCCTTATGCAACTGTAGTTTTTATTCCAGTTAGAATAGGGCGGCTACAATAAAATTTAAACATTTTTTTTAATTAGACTGATGCTTGCGCAGAAAATAATTTTATGCTCTTGGTACTTTGGAAGATGGATCATATTATCAAATTAAACAAAATACGCACTATACCAATTTCAACCAGGGATTATTTTTATATTACTAGATGTTTCAATTTGTCAATTAATTCTCAACCCTTGTCTCTTTCAGGCGCATCTGTTACCACCATTGAATAAATTAAAATGACTACATATACTTCAAATAAAACATTTATTGCATCTGCAAGTCTTTAACATTGATTTATTTAACGTTGATTTTTCACGAATGTTTTTCCTTATTTGATTTATTGCCTGGCACTTCCTGTCTCTAGAAACAAGTTGGGAACAGCTCGAAGTTGTCTTCTACTGTCTCTAGAAACAAGTTGAGAACAGCTCGGAGTTGTATTCTACTGTCTCTAGAAACAAGTTGAGAACAGCTCGGAGTTGTATTCTACTGTCTCTAGAAACAAGTTGAGAACAGCTCGAAGTTGTCTTCTACTGTCTCTAGAAACAAGTTGGGAACAGCTCGAAGTTGTCTTCTACTGTCTCTAGAAACAAGTTGGGAACAGCTAGAAGTTGTCTTCTACTGTCTCTAGAAACAAGTTGGGAACAGCTCGAAGTTGTCTTCTACTGTCTCTAGAAACAAGTTGAGAACAGCTCGGAGTTGTATTCTACTGTCTCCAGAAACAAGTTGAGAACAGCTCGGAGTTGTATTCTACTGTCTCTAGAAACAAGTTGAGAACAGCTAGAAGTTGTCTTCTACTGTCACTATAGAACAACTAGGAATTGTCCTCTAATTGTCTCTCGTACAGTTCGGAGTTGAACGCTGTCACTGAATGGCGCGAAAAAAAAAGACACACGAGATTATTTCCAAGAAGGAAATTAAAATTTAATTATGAATCCATCAGGACTAGTAATATCATACCTGATTCTGAAAGCATAGTCTTGTTTTTCAAATGGTTTATGTTTAGGTCGTGATTTGGGTGTTGGTTGGGTATAGGTACAATCTATGCCAGATGGAATGTTCGGTTTACCAAACAATGTAACTGTAGCACACTGTGTTTTCTGATCTATTATATTATACGTTGTTTTGATCATGTCATCAACAGAGTACACAAACGTGACGTTTTCATTGGGAAAACCCCGAATTGTGACAGCCAGCGAATTGGCATCAATCCAGAATTTGAAAACACGTTGTTGAGACATTGGAACAAACTTGTTGGTTTCACCATAAATTACAATCTTCGAATTATTTCTGAAACAAACAGTATAATATAACCAGTAATAATTATACATACCCGATAAAGAACAGGACTGGTATAATATAAACAGTAAAAATTATACATACCCGACATAAAGAACAGGAATGGTATAATATAAACAGTAAAAATTATACATACCCGATATAAAGAACAGGACTGGTATAATATAAACAGTAATAATTATACATACCCGACATAAAGAACAGGAATGGTATAATATAAACAGTAAAAATTATACATACCCGATATAAAGAACAGGACTGGTATAATATAAACAGTAATAATTATACATACCCGATATAAAGAACAGGACTGGTATAATATAAACAGTAATAATTATACATACCCAACATAAAGAACGGGACTAGTATAATATAAACAGTAATAATTATACATACCCGACATAAAGAACAGGACTGGTATAATATAAACAGTAATTATTATACATACCCGACATAAAGAACAGAACTGGTATAATGTAAACAGTTATAATTATACATACCTACCATAAAGAACAGGACTGGTATAATATAAACAGTAATTATTATACATACCCGACATAAAGAACAGGACTGGTATAATATAAACAGTAATAATTATACATACCCGACATAAAGAACAGGACTGGTATAATATAAACAGTAATAATTATACATACCCAACATAAAGAACAGGACTGGTATAAAATAAACAGTAATTATTATACATACCCGACATAAAGAACGGGACTGGTATAATATAAACAGTAACAATTATACATACCCGACATAAATAACAGGACTGGTATAATATAAACAGTAATAATTATACATACCCAACATAAAGAACAGGGCTGGTATAATACAAACAGTAATAATTATACATACCCGACATAAAGAACAGGACTGGTATAATATAAACAGTAATAATTATACATACCCGACATAAAGAACAGAACTGGTATAATACAAATAGTAATAATTATACATACCTAACATAAAGAACAGGACTGGTATAATATAAACAGTAATAATTATACATACCTACCATAAAGAACAGGAC